TTTAATAAAAGAGATTAAAATCACATATTTATAATATTTGAAAAATTAAAATTATTTAATTAAAAATTTAGAAATTAAAACTATATAATATTTAAAAGATTAAAATTACTTAATCAAAATATTAAAAATAAATATTATATAATTATAAATTATAAATACAATTAAACTAAAAAAAATTAAAAAAAATTAAAGCTAATGTAAAGATATATACGAAGTTGTGGATGAGTGGTAAGATAACACAAGCACGATGTCTATTTAGTATCACTCTTTCTTTCCCCTTCAATCTTCATAGTATTCAAGGTATGGCTTTTCAAGTCTTACTCATCTGTTTGATGTTCACCATCATAATCATGTTTACATCCATATTGGGTAGAAAGCAAAACAAAACCTTAATCCACCTTCCACCAAGTCCCATAGCCCTTCCCATCATTGGCCACCTCCACCTTCTTTCCCCAATACCTCATAATTTTCATAAGCTCTCAATCCATTATGGACCCATCATACATCTTTTCCTTGGATCAGTCCCTTGTGTGGTGGTTTCCACGGCAGAAGCCGCCAAAGAGTTCCTCAAAACTCACGGAAACTCCTTCTCTGACCGCCCTCGATCTATTTCCATCAAGGCCATATCCTACGGCTATAAAGACTTCATGTTTGCACAATACGGATCTTATTGGAAGTTCATGAAGAAACTTTGCATGTCTCAACTTCTCGGTGCTCGCATGCTAGACCAGTTCCTTCCCGTGAGACGACAAGAGACACAAAGATTCATTAAACGTGTGCTCCATAATGGGGTCGCTCGTGAAGCCATGGATTTTGGAAAAGAGTTCATGACACTTTCGAATCGCATCGTGTCAAGAATGAGCATGAGTCGGACAAGTTCTGAGAACGAAAATGAAGATGTAGAGATTAGGAAGCTCATGGCCGATACCGCAGAACTCATGGGGAAGTTCAACATATCAGACTTTATTTGCTTCTTGAAGAATTTTGATTCGCAGTTGCAGGGATTCAACAAGAGGCTCAAGCAAATTCGGCACAGGTTTGACACCTTGATGGATACAATTATTAAGGAACGTGAAGAGCAAAGAAGGAAGAATAAGGAAATAGGTGGAACACGTCAACTTAGGGATATGCTTGATGTTTTACTAGACATACTTGAAGATGAGAATTCTGAAATGAAATTGGACAAAGAGAACATCAAGGCCTTCTTCTTGGTAAGATATTAAAGGATGTTTGCAATCATATCAATTGTTATATTTAAAATTCATTTTAGTCATCATTCCAAGAACAATTTCTTTTGGTATTGTAATAAGAACAATTTTAAAAAAATATTATGAGACTAATAAAATTTAGTGTAAATAATTAGTTTTCTTAATATGTATAAAATTAATTATTTTTCCTTAAAATAAATAATATAGAAAATGTATTTTAGTTCATGTAAAATCTCTAATATTTAACCTAAGATAATTTTTAGTTTCTCACATAACATATATTCCATTTTTAATAACTTGTAAAAAAATAGATTATGGGTCACACAAAGAGGAATCATGAAAATCATATAATAATTTCTTGTTAGTGAGGTGTTTAAAGTAGTACTGATTATATGTACTAATTATATTTACACTTCCTTCCCTTGTATCTTCTTCCTCTCTCAATTTTTATTAGCATGTAAGTATCATCCATCATTTTCCTTCATGCAAGCATGACTAACATGTACATATTTTGTTTCTAATGACAACATATAGAATATATTTGTTGCTGGAACCGACACGTCAGCTATAACCATGGAATGGGCTATGGCAGAGTTAATCAACAATCCACATGTGTTGGAGAAGGCAAGGCAAGAAATGGATGTAGTGATTGGGAAGAGTAGAATAGTAGAAGAATCAGATATTGTGAACCTTCCATACCTGCAAGCCATTGTTAAAGAAACATTGAGAATTCACCCAGCTGGTCCATTGCTTTTTAGAGCCTCATCAAAAAGTGCAGTAATTTGTGGTTATGATATTCCAGCCAAGACTCGATTATTTATTAATGTTTGGGCTATTGGTAGGGACCCCAATCACTGGGAGAACCCACTTGAGTTCAAGCCAGAGAGGTTTATTGGAAATGGGCAGAGTCAATTGGATGTTAGGGGACAACATTATCATCTAATTCCGTTTGGGAGTGGAACAAGAGGGTGTCCTGGTACTTCTCTAGCATTGCAGGTTATGCATGTCAATCTGGCTGCTATGATTCAGTGTTTCCAATGGAAGGTTTATGGCAATGGCACGGTGGACATGAAAGAGAAGTCTGCTGGCATCACTGTTCCTAGGGCTCACCCTATCATTTGTGTTCCTGTTCCAAGGCTTAACCCATTCCCTCTATGTGATTAATCATAAGATGGCATGTCAAAGTTTTAGATAGAGTATTTTTTTTATACAAAATTTCAAAAGACTTTTCACAACTTTCTATCGAAAATAAATATTTTTTTTCCAATAAAAGAAACTCTATCTTAAAAATGTTTTTAATTTATATCGAAATAAATTTATAGTTAGAGATTAAATGATATGTAATTTTTAAATGATATTTGTGATAGTTGATTAAAAATTTTAATGCTTTTATTATAAAATTTGTATTAACATATTGTATTAAAAATTAAATTATATAATATATAATATATAAAAAATTATAGACGTATATGTTCTCATCTATCAATAATAACATTTTATAATATTAAGTGTCGAAAAGTTTAAACATAGGGCAGATAATTTGATGGTAAAAGAATTTTATGTCGAAAGAAAGTCTAATTTAGTTGGTTAAATAGCATGTGTTATTTGGTATAGATTTTTTTGTGAGTAATTTTTTATTTTCATGAAAGAAAGTTTAACTTTTTTATTTTTTATTCTATGTCGAAAGAAAGTCTAATTTTAATATATTCAACTTTTTGCAATTTTAAGATGTTCTCCTTATATGAAAATGATGAATAACACAAACTTTGATTGATGTTCACTGAGTCAAGTATTGGTATGAGTTTTGAGACTCTTTGATTTCGAAATCATTTAGTTAAACAAATTTTAACTTAAGTGTGTTTGAAAAATTTGTTCAATCAAATATTTTTTCCTGATAAATTCTGGCTTATATAGTAGGTCTCTAAACGTTTTGACTTATGCTTTTGAATTCGTGATTTGTAAACTTTTAGTTAAATTATAAACTAGTATTACTAAATACATTTTTATAAATTTTTAATTTTTTAACTCTTATAGTTTATAAGCTTCATCATGCTTAAAAGTTAGTTTTAGAAAAACATATCTTATTTATATAAATACATTATCTTTTTCACCAAAAAAAAATTATATTATAAAAAAATAAAGTCACTAATCTCTACTTTAAATTCTAAATATTAAATATATCATAGATTATCAAATTATCTAAAAAAATTTAAATTTTAAATTTTAAATATGATAGTTACAAAAGAAAAACACTAAACTTAAAAATTTGTAAATGATTTTCATCATAAGATAATGCTATTTTAAGAATTCTCAATCTATTTATAATCTTTTATCATGTTTTTACAAGAATTTCTTAAAGAAACCTTTTCTTGATAAGATCACATTTATATAAGTTATATTCCATGAGATTTTTTTTTGGAATTATTTTTCAACAAGAGTATCTTTAACAATTTTTTTAATAACAATATCTTTTAAATATTCTGTTTTGCTTCTTATATCTTTTAATTTATCATTTTTATTTTAAATTAAATTTCAACATTTTAAAAACATTGTCGATAATTAAAAATAAGTCAATATTTACAATTTATTTATTATAAATCTAAATAAAATTTATACAATTAAAATATTTATTTATCATAAATTTAAATTATATAAAATAAATATTATTACATATTATATAAACTAAAATTTAAGTTATAAAAAAACTTTGAAAAGAAGGACTTGTTTAAAAGAAGTCAAAGTCCAACAACTTTAATATATATATAGCTATTGAGTATGTAACCGCTTTTGGTCTCCACTTTTTAGTGGATCATTATATCCTTCTGATATAAAAAAAAATTATATCCTTTTTAAATAATTACACACAACTTTCTAATATTATGTCTGTGTATAACTATTAGAGGCATAGAGTGTCTTGACCTCTTTAGTATATATTATAAGGAAGATATCGAGACATGTAATCGTTTTTGGTCTCTAACCTTCTTATAATATGTTGTTTGTGTCTCGACCCTTCTAATAATAATAATAATAAATAATATTTTAGTACTATTTTTAAATGAAGATATAAATATATTAAAAATAAATTTAATCATTTTAAAATATTTAAAGACTTTTGTGTCTTATTTCTATAATGTTGAAATTATTTTTATCTTTATTTTAAAATAATAAAAAAATTACCATGAGATAAAAATATAAGTAAAATATTGAAAACGAATTTAACATTATTTAAAAAAAATTTATTCTTCACTTATAAAAAAAAATTAAATATTTTAATTCATATTAAAATAATCAAAGTTTTAATTTTAAAAATTATTTTAATTCACCTGTAATGTTTAAAATAATTTGTTTATGATACAAGAAAGATTGAAAAAATAAATATATCTAATCAATTCTTGTATATATAAAAGAGATATCAAATATATTATTTTTTACCTTCACTTTTTTAATATTTTGTTATATTTTTTTATGTAAAAAAGTTATATTTTATTTAAATATTTATATAATTTTTTTTTAATATTTTATCTATCAATAACTATTAAAAATACGAAATATCTTGATAAAATGATAACGGCAAGAAAAAGGATAAGAAAGTTATTTATTAAGAATAATTTGAATTATTTATTTAGTTGGAACAAGGAAATCCTAAAAGGTGAGTTTTCTAAGTTATTGTGTGCGGAGAGTTGAATGTTTTGGTTGGATCGCGTTGTTCTCGGTTTGTGTGTGTGATCGATATCCCTTTGGATCTCTTGAGAATCTATGGTGGTGTGAGAGATCTAAGGTGGGGATGGTGACGGTGAATCTGGGTATGCTTCATTATGTGTTGGACCATATATACGGAGCATTCATGCACAGAACTAAGATGAGCACGCCGTTCTTCTCGCGAGGGTGGGGTGGGACGAAACTGGAGATGCTGGAGAGGATGATAAAGCAATTGTTCCCGGAAGTGCAAGTGGCGGGGCAGAATTGGCCTCCCACTATGATTGAACCGGTTTGGAGAACCCTTTGGGAGACCAAGACGGCTACTTTGAGAGAAGGGGTATTCAGAACCCCTTGTGAGGACCAACTGCTTGCTGCATTGCCCCCTGAGAGCCACACTGCAAGGGTTGCATTCCTCATCCCCAAGCCTCTCCCCCCTCACAAAATGGCCTGCGTCCTTCATCTTGCTGGTAAATCTCTCTTTCACATCTTTCCATTTCAATCTTCTCTTTCATATCTTTCCATTTTCTTATGCTCTGCAGGAACCGGAGACCACTCATTTGAGAGAAGATTGCGCCTTGGTGGACCTCTCGTCAAGCAAAACATTGCAACCATGGTACTTGAGAGGTCATGCTCTTTTCTCAAACCCACCCTTTTCTCCTTCAAACTATTCATTTAATGTATTCCTCTCTTTATGCAAATGCAGTCCATTTTATGGACAAAGACGGCCTATGCTGCAGCGTGGTGCAAAACTTTTGTGTGTTAGTGACTTGCTTTTATTAGGAAAAGCAACCATTGAAGAGGCACGCAGTCTCTTACACTGGTTGGACTCTCAGGCAGGTTTTGGCAAGATGGGTGTTTGTGGACTTAGTATGGGTAATTTTCATATTTTAACCTCATCCATACACAAATCAACTCCTTTTAGATCCAACAACATACCGCTTGTCCCATCACTGTAACCAAACAAGTTTTCACTTTTCCAATCTCCTGGCTTCTCCTTTTATGTAATTTTTTCAATATTTCTATGTAGTCCAGGAGGAGTGCATGCTGCTATGGTTGGATCACTTCACCCTACACCTGTTGCAACACTCCCTTTTCTATCTCCACATTCTGCCGTTGTCGCATTCTGTGAGGGGATTTTGCAGCATGGCACTGCCTGGGAAGCGCTCAGGGAGGATCTTGCTGCCCAGAAGGTTGCAATGACTCTCGAGGAGGTTAGAGAACGAATGAGAAATGTTCTGTCTCTCACAGATGTCACACGCTTTCCAATTCCCAAAAACCCCAATGCTGTAATCTTTGTTGCTGCCACTGTAAGTTTCATCTTTCATCATCATCACCTTATGAATGTGTATAGTGAAACTGGGAAGAAATTTACATCTAACAGTCGTTCATTTAAATTGCTTTTCCATTTCCATGTCTTTTTGGATCCTTTTATTGATATGTTTTAAATGTGTATCGACTATGTTCTTTTTCATGGAAATACAGCAATCTGAAAACACAAACTTTTCTGCCTTATTTTCTTCCTGTTCCTAAATCTGGCTATTGCTGTGACAATCAAAATCAAGCTAAAAGTTTATCAAACCTGAGAGAATATCAGTTAGGTGCACTGGTACATATGAAGTGCATTTGATACATATTAAGGTACAAGACAAGGTAACAGTAAATGCACCATAGAAGGAAGGGAATAATCTGTATATTATTCACTCTTATCAAATGATACAAACGAAAGGGTCTATATAGCCAACGTTTGAAGCAAGGCGACAAAAGAGAGGAATGAAAAACGTGCAGCACTAGAAACAGAAAAGGAAAAATAGAATCTAGTTTGTTACACGAGAGAGAAAGAAAATATCCACTATTGAGCATGACTCCGTTGAGCATGACTGCATCATGCATGCAATCACTCATCACCATCATTTATGCTCTACGATAATACCCCCTCTCAAGCTGGTGGGCGAAAAATATCAAGCACACCAAGCTTGGTTAGGAAGTCATGGAAGAGCTTTGGAAACAAGGCTTTAGTGAAGAAATCAGCCAGCTGAGCTTTGGAAGGTATGGGAAGAAGATGCATGAGTCCAGCTTGCAGCTTTTCTCTGACCAAGTGACAATCCATTTCCAAATACTTTGTGCGTTCATGAAACACAGGATTGTGTGCTATGTCTAAAGCACTTTGGTTGTCACAGAACAACAAATGAGATTTTGGCAAGCAAACTCTGAGATCTTGCAGCAAGAAATGAATCCATTGAAGTTCACAAGTGGCAACACCAAGGGCTCTGTACTCTACCTCAGCAGAAGACCCGACAACTGTGGGTTGTTTCTTGGATCTCCAGCTAATTAGAGCATCTCCAACAAAGAAACAATACCCTGTAATTGATCTACGAGTATCCAAACATCCGCCCCAATTTGCATCACAGAAGCCCTTCACTTGAAGTTGAGAATTTCTAGGAAAGAATAACCCAAGACCAGGGGATCCTTTTAAGTATCTCAGTATCCTAGTGGTAGCTTTATAATGAGCCTGAGTTGGGGAATTCATGAACTGGCTGACTTGCTGAGTAGCAAAGGTGATGTCTGGTCGTGTTGCTGTTAAATAGAGCAATCTCCCTACAAGTCTGCGATAGGAAGGAGCATCTGTATAAGGGGGGCTTGTATCTTGTTGAAGATGAATGGCTGGGTCTAATGGTGTGGAGGCTGGTTTACTGCCTAAGAGAGCTGTATCTGTGAGAAGCTCCAAACAGTATTTCCTTTGGCACAAAGAAATTCCAACTGATGAATGAGCAATTTCTAAGCCGAGAAAATACTTCAAGGGACCAAGATCTTTTATGCCAAAAGCTGCATGTAGAATCCCTTTAACAAAGTCAAACTCAGTTAAGAAGATGTATTATGTTTTAAGAAAAGAGAATGGTCTACAACAGAGTGAGAATAGCCCAGATTCGGTAGAAAAGTTGATAGCTTCTCAAACCATTGTCTGCTAGCTTGTTTGAGCCCATATAGAGACTTGGTGAGTTTGCAAACTTGATTTGGACTTGTAACAGTCATGCCTTATGGAACAATCATGTAGATACCTTCCTTCAAATCCCCATGGAGGAAAGCATTATTCACATCAAGTTGGTGAAGATGCCATCCTTTAATAGCAGCTAAGGCAAGAATGACTCTAATGGTGGTTAGCTTGGCAACTAGAGAAAAGGTGTCCAAATAGTCTAACCCTTCAATTTGAGTATATCCCTTTGCTACCAACCGAGCTTTGAACCTTTCTATGGTGCCATCAGATTTTCTCTTTACCTTGTAAACCCATTTATTACCTATGGGAATCACTCCCGGAGGGAGTTCAACAATCTTCCATGTTCCATTGAGTTCAAGAGCTGAGATTTCAGCTTCCATGGCCTTTTCCAGTGATCAAACTTGCTAGCTTCAGAAAAGGATTTAGGTTCTGGGACGTCTGACAAACAAGCACTATAGACAGCATGTGAAGGTGACAAGGCATGGAAAGAAACATAAGACTCTATTGGATAAGGAATACCTGAATGATGATGCTGGGAAGAGATGGATGTATTACAGTGATAGTCTTGTAAATATGTGGGCCTTGTTTTATCTCTGAGGGATCTCCTGCAGATTGTAGTAGGCTGTTCTTGGTTTGTTGGTGATGGGGAAGAAGCTGTGGGAGAAAGAAGAGTAGGAGATACCTAAGTATGTGAAGATGAAATTTCTGTGTTAGTTTCCCCTGGCTGAATAGGATCTGAATTGGTGAAAGAGGTGGGTGAAAATGGTATGGAGATGCATTGTGGTGCAGAAAAATCTCCTGGTTGTGCAACATTTAAGACATAAGAAAAAATGAGTTCTTCAAACTGCACATTTCTAGAAACATGTATCAGCTTTGTATTTAGATCATAAACCATGTAACCTTTCGTTCCTGGTTTATATCCAATAAAAAATCATTTGTGAGCTCTAGAATCAAATTTTTTTCTATGAAGAGAAATGCTAGAAATGTAGCATAGACACCCAAAAACCCTCAAATGTTTTAAATCAGGAAGCTCACCATATAAAATCTGATAAGGTGATTTTGAACCTAAAACTTGGGTTGGAACTTTATTAATTAAATGTACAACATGAGTCACTGCAAAACCCCAAAAGGATTTTGGCAAATTTCCTTGGAAAAGAAGTGCTCTAGCAACATTTAAAATGGTTTGATGTCTCCTTTCTACTCTACCATTTTGTTGTGGAGTTTCTACACAAGAAGTCTGATGAATGATGCCTTCTTCTTGATAGAAAGAATGCAAGAAAAATTCAGGCCCATTGTCTGTTCTTATTGTTTTGATTTTGCTGTGAAATTGTCTATCAACCAATTTTGAAAAATGTCTTAGTGATTGTTCAGTCTGAGATTTGTTTTTTAAGAGAATTACCCAAGTATACCTACTATAATCATCCACAATGGTTAAAAAATATCTTTGATGATTTACAGTTTGTATACTATAAGGGCCCCATAAATCTAAATGCAATAATTCAAAAGGTCTTGAAGTTTTAGAATTACTAACTGAAAAAGGTAGCTTCCTCTGTTTGGCAAAATGACAAACATCACATACATGCTTGTGATTACAATTGTTTATGAAGGAATACAATTCTGATAACATGTTTAGCCTAGACTCAGAAATGTGCCCAAGTCTAAAATGCCACAAAGCATTAGGAGAATAGGTAGAATTGTGTGTTGAAGATGTGTTGATTTGTGAAGTATTTGTAGTAGGTTTTTGGCAAGTCTTGATCAAGTAATACAATCCATCAACTTCTTCAGCAAAACCAATCATCCTCACAGACTTCAGATCCTGTATGAGACAAGCATTAGGCAAGAAAGTAATTGTACAATGTAGAGAAGTGATCAGTTTAGACACATAAATGATGTTTAAGGAAAAATCTGGGAGATATAAGACCTGTGTTAGAATTAGATGAGGATTTAAAAGGACCTTACCAGAATGTGTTGCTAAAACTGTGTTACCATTTGGAAGTTTTACTAATATAGATTGTGATTTCAATGGTTCTAAGAAGGTGAACAAGGATTTATTGGAGCAAATGTGGTCTGTTGCACCCGAATCTAATATCCAGGTGCATGAGGTTTTGGAATCGGCTAAACAAATCAGAGAAGTTGGTTTACCTGAGTTCAGAGTCAGATTGGAAATTGGAGTAGTGGTTAAAGCTGCAACCTGATTGCTTCCTGAAGAACTAGCAGGGTTAGAAGACTGGATAAGGGCCATGAGAGCCTTATACTGATAAGGTGATTTTGATCCTAAAACTTGGGTTGGAACTCTATTAATTAAATGTACAACATGAGTCACTGCAAAACCCCAAAAGGATTTTGGCAAATTTCCTTGGAAAAGAAGTGCTCTAGCAACATTTAAAATGGTTTGATGTCTCCTTTCTACTCTACCATTTTGTTGTGGAGTTTCTACACAAGAAGTCTGATGAATGATGCCTTCTTCTTGATAGAAAGAATGCAAGAAAAATTCAGTCCCATTGTCTGTTCTTATTGTTTTGATTTTGCTGTGAAATTGTCTATCAACCAATTTTGAAAAATTTCTTAGTGATTGTTCAGTCTGAGATTTATTTTTTAAGAGAATTAACCAAGTATACCTACTGTAATCATCCACAATGGTTAAAAAATATCTTTGATGATTTACAGTTTGTATACTATAAGGGCCCCATAAATCTAAATGCAATAATTCAAAAGGTCTTGAAGTTTTAGAATTACTAACTGAAAAAGGTAGCTTCCTCTGTTTGGCAAAATGACAAACATCACATACATGCTTGTGATTACAATTGTTTATGAAGGAATACAATTCTGATAACATGTTTAGCCTAGACTCAGAAATGTGCCCAAGTCTAAAATGCCACAAAGCATTAGGAGAATAGGTAGAATTGTGTGTTGAAGATGTGTTGATTTGTGAAGTATTTGTAGTAGGTTTTTGGCAAGTCTTGATCAAGTAATACAATCCATCAACTTCTTCAGCAAAACCAATCATCCTCACAGACTTCAGATCCTGTATGAGACAAGCATTAGGCAAGAAAGTAATTGTACAATGTAGAGAAGTGATCAGTTTAGACACATAAATGATGTTTAAGGAAAAATCTGGGAGATATAAGACCTGTGTTAGAATTAGATGAGGATTTAAAAGGACCTTACCAGAATGTGTTGCTAAAACTGTGTTACCATTTGGAAGTTTTACTAATATAGATTGTGATTTCAATGGTTCTAAGAAGGTGAACAAGGATTTATTGGAGCAAATGTGGTCTGTTGCACCCGAATCTAATATCCAGGTGCATGAGGTTTTGGAATCGGCTAAACAAATCAGAGAAGTTGGTTTACCTAAGTTCAGAGTCAGATTGGAAATTGGAGTAGTGGTTAAAGCTGCAACCTGATTGCTTCCTGAAGAACTAGCAGGGTTAGAAGACTGGATAAGGGCCATGAGAGCCTTATATTGCATCTCTCCCAAGCATCGAAACTTGGATCGAAGGTAGAAGGTGCCGGTAAAGAATCATTTACGAACTTGAACTTATCTTTGGAAATTAATGACTGCTTCATAGCCCTGGACCAGCTATGATAGTTCTTCACAGTAAGCAATGGTGAGACCAAAGGTGTTGAGGGATGTTCTCCTGGATGAATGTAATATTCACTGAGGGGATTCAAAGCCGGGTCCGAAGGTGGAGGTGAAGACGCTCCTCCACTGCCTGAACCACCACCTCTTGCCATGGAAATGATTGAAACCTACAGAGCTCTTGAACTTCAAGAGCTCTGATACCATATCAGTAAATGCATCATAGAAGGAAGGGAATAATCTGTATATTATTCACTCTTATCAAATGATACAAACGAAAGGGTCTATATAGCCAACGTATGAAGCAGAAGGCGGCAAAAGAGAGGAATGAAAAACGTGCAGCACTAGAAACAGAAAAGGAAAAATAGAATCTAGTTTGTTACATGAGAGAGAAAGAAAATATCCACTGTTGAGCATGACTCCGTTGAGCATGACTGCATCATGCATGCAATCACTCATCACCATCATTTAAGCTCTACGATAATACAAGGAGAAGAACACATGACTAATGCTCAATTTTCTGAATAACTTTTTGTTATGTACATTGTTTGGTGAATAGTGGACAGAACAAACAAATTAATGTTAAATTTATTGCAATATCCTTTTAATACTAATTATCATAATGAATTATTATTATTATCTTAATGAAAATGATAGTGACAAGAATTGTAATGACTATAATAACATTGGTGATAGTGTTGGCTGCAGTAGCAGCAACGATACTGATGACGATGGTAAGGGTTGAAGTGGTGTTGGTACGGCATTATGGTAGTGAGTATTTTTTTTACTCCGAACAAAATATTGTCCCGTGATTTATTGAGTAACAATAAAATTAGACTTTTGTTATGTTCTTCATTTTTTGTCCAGTCCCATGACCCCTTTATAAATCAAACTGGAAACAGTTATATTTGTCTTGTTCAATACAATGAATTTTAGTGAATTAAACGAACTCATGTGACATTTGTCCTGGCTTTAATTAATCAAAGATAATTTGTTTTCTTATATTTGGTTGAAATTAAAAACTGTTATTGACGAATTGTAAGCACATAAAAGGTTGATCCAAATCACTTGAGTTTTTGAACCTTCTGAAATCCTCAGAATGAAGGGACACTTTGCTGTCCATAAAATCATGTTTTATTGAGTTGTCTGCATTTGTCACTGCTCTTAATCATTGTCGCATTGTTTTGCAGGATGATGGATACATCCCAAAACACTCAGTCCTGGAACTTCAAAAAGCTTGGCCCGGTTCTGAGGTGAGATGGGTCACAGGTGGGCATGTCTCATCCTTCATTCTCCACAATGATCATTTTCGAAGAGCCATTGTGGATGGTCTTGACAGATTACCATGGAAAGAGTCTCCGTTGTGATACGATTATTGCACATGAAGAAGAAATTGTTTTAAGATTGTTGATTGATACAGTCAGTGGTCATTTCCACTTCTCATACTCCCCTAAACTTGTAACATTGATCTCAGATCTCCATCCCCAAATTAAGAGGGAAGGGGTTGTAAATAATTTTCATCCAGAAAATATACATTGAAGTCATAACAAGGGGGATAGAAGTTTCTGAAGAAACTGATGAAATTGTTGTATCGGAATTTAACTGTTCTGATCTCTCTTTAACCCTGTCAAAAAATAAATAAATTCTTATAAAAGTAAAATGTTTATTCAGGTCCTTTTGATGTATCTCCATCACCATATTACTTTTTTTGCTAATTAGCAGCATTAAATTGTTCTTTCAATAATTATTAATTATTCTAAATTTCGTCTTTTAAGTATTAATTTGATAGGAAGAGCAAAATGTTGAAAGATAAATTTGATGGCTCGTTAGATTCAAATAATCATTTATACTGCATTTTGGTGAATGGGACTAAGTGTCCGTTTATTATTAAGGGGGGAAATATGAAAAATAGTGTAGATGAAAAAAAAAAAAGAGGAATAAAAGGAAAATTAAAGGGTTTGGTTTCAGAATAACATGATTGATTAAAAATTGAGGTGAGAAATAAAGAAAATGTAAAATGAGGAAGGAAATAAGTTGAATGTAAATAAATGAGAAATATAGTTAAAATATAAGTGTTTGATTTAAAAGATATATAAAAGAAGAAAAAAAACTACTTCGGGTGATTTTTTTAATCAATTAAAATTGATTTTATGTGCTTAATAATCGACTATGTTCATTCACAATCACCAATTTTTATATCCAGTCCTGTATAATTGATTAACAAGGTTTGGACAAAGAAAAGTTTAACTAATACAATGTCTTAATCTTTTAATAGTTAATTAATTATAGTTTCAGCTCTTCATATTAAGGTAATATCCTAAAGGTAGATTAAACTCCCTATTTATACAAATGGGTAGATAATTTCTTTTAGCTAGATGCTATATAATTTTGTGTGATTGTTTTATTATTTTTTATTAAGGAGAAATAAAAGAAAACAAACAACTACTACTTAACAAAAAGGAAGCCTATAACTTCAACTAAAAGGGGAGTATAAAGTTGAAATAGATAAGCTTCTATAGTAGTGAGTGAATGATTTGATTTTACTCCATGGTTGGCAAGTTAGCCCCCCCTAGAGTTCCCTTCACAATGTATGATTGAAGGAAACATTTCAATTTAGTGATATAAGAGATTCTTGATATTAGATAATAAAACAATAAAAGGATGCAGGTAGTGAACCTCATTTTTAATAAGATCCGAGACACTTTTACAGTCAAACTCATTGCACATTATGATAACTTTTATCTCAAGCTAAACATAAACCATAGAGCTTGACTAATAATTTTGCTTTAGATTTGTAGCAGTTTTAGTACTTGATTTATTACCTTAATGAATTCCTTTTCTTATTAAAAAAAATTATATACTAAAAAGGGTAAGGTTTTCTTATCTTTTTTTTTTTTTAATTACCTAACATCATGTTAATTCAAGTGAAATTTTTTGAAACATAAATTCAAGTTTGAATATTATGAATAAAAAATATGTTAAAAAAAAGATCTTACAAAAAAATGGTCATCCAAATAAAAATGATAAAATCAATGAATATTGAATACCTTGCAATTATAATATAACACCTAAAAAAATCTCTAAATCTTTGTATTTTTATTAAATTTTCTTAACTTATTTATTTAATTTGTGTTTTTTCCTTATTTTTAAATTAAATTTAATATATATTTTAAATTACCAATAAATTTTTTTTGTAATTTATATATTTTAAAAATATTTATTAAAAATTATAATATAATTTATATATTCAAATTATTTATTTATTATAAATTTTAACTATATATAAAATAAACATTGTAACTTTTTGTTGAAAAATTAATACTAACACTAAACATAAAAGCACCGAACACTTTGATTACCTTCCCATTTAGTAACATTTTGTTGAAAAATTAATACTAGCACTAAAAGTTAAAGATTACTATTTCATCAAATATACTAAAATAATAATGTAATATTAATATAATTTTGCTACACCCATAACCTTCAGAAAAATGTATATTAAATGTAAATCTGATTTATATCATCCAAACAATATTATTTTGTCGACAAGTCTTGAAATCAAACTATCCTAACATGAAAAACAAACTCGGTATAAAATAAAGTTGATTCAAATTAGTTTGTAAACACTATCATGAAAATGCACTACACTTAATTAAGATTGCGGAAGTTTCCTAACGAGGATTGATGTCAGGGTCGAAAGGATAAATATCTCGCTTTCCAAAAGTTGGCTCGAATCAGGCCTTCTTGCAGTGAGATTAGCCCAATACAAACAGACCATAAATGGAACGTAACATATTTGCATTTCACCTGGTTTTCTTTTGGTTCTCAGACGAAAGATTATGTAAAACTAGTTCACTTCTACTTTCAGGTTTAAAAATTTGCTGGATGTGATGATAAAGGAAAAGATATAATGTTAGCTGGATACATAACAAATGATTTGTAATAATATCAAAGCAGATATATGAAAGATTCTTGAATATATTAAGGTGACATTTCTCTGGTATTCATCAATGTCCTGTCCACAACCGTAAAACTAAAGAAAAGAAACCAACTCCGTCCCACAACCAAAACTAACAAAATACAGAAAAGGGGGGGCAAAACTAGGAAGCATGACAGTTAAAATTTGGATCAAGATCAAGCATCTGCAATGGTCACCTCAACTTCCACACCTGGTTCAATTGTGATAGAAGTAATCTGCTTGACTACATCTGGGGAACTGTAGAGGTCAATGACTCTCTTGTGCACACGGAGTTCAAATCTGTCCCATGTGTTGGTACCTAAAACAAAACAAAATTTCATGAACACATGGAAAAATATCATGTATTCAACAAAACACAACATTTAGAAAGTCTACAACAAATCTGTCCCATGTGTTGGTACGTAAAACAAAACAAAATTTCATGAACACATGGAAAAATAAAATATCATGCATTCAATAAAAAACAACATTTAGAAAGTCTACACATTGAACACAATACTTCAAAAACTAAATCAGTAAGCTATGTAACACAACAGTATTAGTGTTTCATAAGAACAGGACGGAATTCAGACTCAATAAGACAAGAAAGCACAACACTTTTTAAGCTTTTAGCCCCAACTACAGGCCTTCCATGTTTCGGGTGGTGAGAATGCTCATGCATATATCATCAATTGCATGATATCAAATGACAAAAGAGCCAATCCCACATGTCATGCGCATAGGATAATCAATTTGTTTCATATAATGACCACCACAGTTGAAGAACTGATTTAAATACCAAATATCATTCAATAAAAATGAATTAAAAAATAGATATAACTTGAACAATTGCCCCGTCTTCAACTAAAAGAATGAAAGTTGAAACAAACCATACTATTCATCTCACACTTAATTTTTTGGAATGAAAAAAAAAACAATAGATTATTAATGAAACCTTCTAACCATCCTGTTCATTTTTGTGCAAACAATATAACTCAATTAAAAAAAAAAAAACTTCCCTTTTCATTCAGAACCTTCCGTCCAAACAAATCTAGAACACAGACATTCACCACAACTCTAGAACAACCATATACATTGAGGCACACCAAACAAGCGATGTGCGCAGTGTATAATTGCAAAATAAACATGAATCAAACCAACAAGATAAGCAGAGAAAAAAAGGGGAAAAGTTAATGACACAACAACCATAAAAAGTGAGAAATAGTGAAAATACCTTCACCACAAGGAGACTTCCTAGTAGTGATGTGAAGAACCTTAGTGGGCATCCTAACAGGTCCTTTTACCCTGAGCCTCTTGTCCCTAGCACCACGAACCAAGTCTGCACAAACTAAAATTTACACAAAAATTGAATCATAAGCCTAAGGACTCAAAGCGAGGATCTTAAAAAGCAGAACTTGGAGCAATTGATGATACCCTTTTCGAGATTTTTGACGTGCTTGGAGGAAAGGGTGATCCTTATCTTGTGGATCTGATCCTGGGGCTCCTCTAAGCCGGGTTTAGTTGGCTTCATCGCAGCGTACGCCATTGTTGACACAGATGGAGAAAGGAGGGAAGAAGCCGCTGCGTCAGATAGCTAAGACAGTTATGGTTTTAGGGCAAAAATATAAAATAAAACCCTAACTCTCCATCCATCTAAGCCCACTACCAAAATTTCTTGGCCCAACTTACAATACTTTCCGGACTTCTTTTTTAAGCCCTAATTACTAAACATATCTTTCCATTTTCTTAATTTAATTTTCTTACTAAAATACTCTCTATATATAATGACTCCTGTTAACATCAATTGTAAATCTAAAATACTTATACTATATCTTTTATTTTAATATTTTTTAAATAATATAAATTTAATTGATTTAAATATTGAATCATATGATATTATATTTAAGATTATGTATATCAAATTTTTTATTATTTAAATTTTTTAAGATATATTTTTTAAAAATGAGTATTTACACATATTTTAAATATCATATTATATGTAAAAATAAAACAATATAATGAAATACTAAATAAATTTGGAATCATGTGAATTTTGATACAAATGATCTTAGGTAATAATATCAAATGATTTAATAATTAGATCGGTTAAATTTGTATTACACAAAAAAATTATTAAAATTATAAGATTTACTCATAAAATATAGTGTTAATTATGCTTTTTGTTCATTAATTATTTCAAAATTTTATTTTTCCTCTCTATAATTTTTTTGTTATCTAGTTTTAATCCCTCGTTTAGTTTTATTCATCAATATTAATTCTTGAGAGGGACTAAAATGAGGAGGGAGAAAAGAGAGAAATAGTTCTCTTAGAGACTAGTATTGACAAATAAAAATAAACTCATAACTAAAAATGGGCAAAAAAAAAGGTTATAAATGCCAAAAAAAAATAAAAATTTAAATAGTTGAGTGACAAAAACTTAACTGACCCTATAATATATTTCATACAAATATAATAACATTTTAATTATTTGAGAGAAATTAAAGTTTCAATCTTCAAAAATGTTGAAAGATACCAAGTTTTGTTATTTTAATCCTAATATAATTAACATAGACTATAAATAATATTTCCAAGCTTTGTTGAAACTTATATTTGTCTCGAATGGATTCTTAGAGAAGGGAAAGGTTGTCATTTTTTAGCAAGCTTTGCTGATCCCTTGAATGGTGCTTAACTAGTTATACCATTTTGTATTGCTTTTTTGTATGTGTTAGACAATTTGCTAAATCTCACTCGTTTTGTCATATTACAAGTTGCTCTTTTACGTGGATAAGGTTTTTTTTTTCCTTCTCCTAATATTTATACTTTTAATTAACAAAAAACAATTAAATCATACTTTTAACTTTTAAGTTTTAAGGGTTGTTAGATTTGTTCAATATTTTTTCTCACATGCTATTTCAAGGAATTTGTTTGCATATGATTTATCCAAAGTGGAGATCCTATAAATAGGATGATTATGTTAAGGTTATTTAATTAACTTAAGTAAAATTATTTAATAATCATTTATGAATGTATTATTAATTACTAGTATTTTAGTATGTGTATGAATATTTATTATATTTAATTAAAATGTATTATAAATTATAAATAAAAACTATATTTAAATATATAACTATATTATATATAAATTTTGAAAAATAAATATTTTTAGACAAATTATTTAGATTGTGATGCAAGATTGTTTTTAATTATTAAAAATTTATTTTGAAAATATGAAAATTTAATTAGAAATAAATATAAATTAAAATATATAAGTTAAAAAAATCCTTAAAAGACTTATCATTGAGAAAAAATATCTAGAAATACTCTATTAAAAAGAAACACCTAAAAAATATTCTAATAATTTAAAAATTATTTTAAAAAATAATATTTTAAGATCAAATTAATAGTTTATTCAAAATATATTGTTTTTGGTTGCTCAACATAATGGAGGTTACCAAACAATAAAAGTAAAAGCATTGATGTAATAAAAACAAGCTCTAAAACTGCTATAAATCTTGAGTAGAATTGTTAGCCAAGCTCTATGGTTTATGTTTAGCTTGAAATAAAAGTTATCGTAATGTGTAATGAGTTTGACTGTAAAAGTGTTTTTGATCTTATGAAAAACAAGGTTCACCACCTGTATTCTTTTACTGTTTTATTATCCAATATCAAGGATATCTTATATCACTAAATTGAAATATTTCCTTCAACCATACAGTTCGTGAAGGGAACTTTAGTGAGGGCTAACTTGTCAAACATTTAATAAAATCAGATCATTCACTCACTACAACGGAAGCTTATCCATTTCAACTTTATACTCCCCTTTTAGTTGATGTTATAGACTTCCTTTTTGTTAAGTACTTAAGTAGTAGTTGATTTTTTGTTTTCCTTTATTTCTCCTTAATCAAAAATAATAAGACAATCAAAAAATTTTATAAAGCATCTAGTCAAAATAAATTATCTATGCATATATGTATTTTAATAGGGAGTTTAATCCACCCTTTAGGATATTACCTTAATATGAAGACATGAAACTATAATTAATTAATTATTAGGAGATTAAAAAAATATTGCATTAAACTTTTCTTTATCCAAACATTGTTAATAAATTATATTGGAATGGATTTAGAAATCAGTAATTGTAAATGAACATAGTCGATTATTAAGCATATAAAAATCAATTTTAATCGATTATATTATTGATTAAAAAAAATCACCCGAATTAATTTTTTTCTTTTATATATCTTTTAAATCAAATACTTATATTTTAGCTATATTTCTCGTTTATTTACATTCAACTTATTTCTTTCCTCTTTTAGTATTTCCTCTATTTTTCACCTCAATTTTCATTCAATCATTTTATTTTCACAGCTCTATTTATTTTATTAAATAAAATGCTTATTATATTTCTATTTCTTTCCTATTTATTTTTTATTTTTCTGAAACCAAACCCTTTAATTTTCAATTTTTTTCTCTTTTTTTTTTCATCTACACTATTTCTCATATTTTCCCCCCTTATTAATAAACGGACGCTTAGTCCCATTCATCAAAAAACAGTATAAATGATCATTTGAATCTAACAAGCCATCAAATTTATCTCTCAACATTTTGCACTTCCTATCAAAATAATTCATAAAAGATGAAATTTGGAATAATTAGTAATTATTGAAAGACCAATTTAATGCTGCTAATTCCTTCTTCTAATTTGAATCATGAGTTCATTTCTTCATTTGAATTTGATTGTGCATCTAACTATGGAACTTCATTTATTTTGCTACCTAAGACAAAATTGTATATCAAGGATCAATGGACAAGACAATTTAGAGAAGAAGTAGAATAATATGAGATGGAAACATATCAAAATAAACATTTTACTTTTAAAAGAATTTATTTATTTTTTGACAGGTTTAAAAGGATTTATTGTTAATCCGAAAACATTGATATTATTACATTTGGTGAGTTTAAAGATACTAAAATAGCACAATTTGTTAGTTGAGAATTTGGATGATATTAATAAGGTGATGGTGTCAAGGTGCAAATGTATTACGCATGAGGAGACTAATAACAAGGTGTTGTCCAGAATTTACTCTAAAAGCTTTGAAGAGAGATCAGAACAGTCAAATTCACATACAACAATTTCATCAGTTTCTTCAGAAACTTCTATTCCCCTTGTTATGACTTCAATGTACATTTTCTGGATGATAATTATTTCCAACCCCTTCCCTCATAATTTGGGGATGGAGATCTGAGATCAATGTTACAAGTTTAGACGAGTATGCGAAGTGGGAAGGACCACTGACTGTATCAATCAACAATGTTATAACAAATTCTTCTTCATGTGCAATAATCGTATCACAACGGAGACTCTTTCCATGGTAATCTGTCAAGACCATCCACAATGGCTCTTCGAAAATGATCATTGTGGAGAATGAAGGATGAGACATGCCCACCTGTGACCCATCTCACCTCAGAACCGGGCCAAGCTTTTTGAAGTTCCAGGACTGAGTGTTTTGGGATGTATCCATCATCCTGCAAAACAATGCGACAATGATTAAGAGCAGTGACAAATGCAGACAACTCAATAAAACATGATTTTATGGACAGCAAAGTGTCCCTTCATTCTGAGGATTTCAGAAGGTTCAAAAACTCTAGTGATTTGGATCAACCTTTTACGTGCTTACAATTTGTCAATACCGGTTTTTAATTTCAACCAAATATAAGAAAACAAATTATCTTTTGATTAATTAAAGCCAGGACAAAAGTCACATGAGTTCGTTTAATTCACTAAAATTCATTGTATTGAATAAAACAAATATAATTGTTTCCAGTTTGATTTATAAAGGGGTCATGGGACTGGACAAAAAATTGAAGAACATAACAGAAGTCTAATTTTTTTGTTACTCAATGAATCATGGGACAATTTTTTGTTCTGAGCACAAAAACACTCACTACCATAATGTCGTACCAACACCACTTCAAACCTTACCATCACCGTCAGCGTCATTGCTGCTACTGCAGCCAACACTATCACCAATATTATTATTATCATTACAATTCTTGCCACTATCATTTTCATTATGATAATAATAATAATAATAATAATAATAATTCATTATGATAATTAGTATTAAAAGGATATTGTAATAAATTTAACATTATTTTGTTTGTTCTGTCCACTATTCACCAAACAATGTACATAACAAAAAGTTATTCAGAAAATTAAGCATTTGTACCTTAATATGTATCAAATGCACTTCATATGTACCAGTGCACCTAACTGAAATTCTCTCAGGTTTGATAAACTTTTAGCTTGATTTTGATTGTCACAGCAATAGCCAGATTTAGGAACAGGAAGAAAATAAGGCAGAAAAGTTTGTGTTTTCAGATTGCTGTATTTCCATGAAAAAGAACATAGTCGATACACATTTAAAACATATCAATAAAAGGATCCAAAAAGACATGGAAATGGAAAAGCAATTTAAATGAACGACTGTTAGATGTAAATTTCTTCCCAGTTTCACTATACACATTCATAAGGTGATGATGATGAAATATGAAACTTACAGTGGCAGCAACAAAGATTACAGCATTGGGGTTTTTGGGAATTGGAAAGCGTGTGACATCTGTGAGAGACAGAACATTTCTCATTCGTTCTCTAACCTCCTCGAGAGTCATTGCAACCTTCTGGGCAGCAAGATCCTCCCTGAGCGCTTCCCAGGCAGTGCCATGCTGCAAAATCCCCTCACAGAATGCGACAACGGCAGAATGTGGAGATAGAAAAGGGAGTGTTGCAACAGGTGTAGGGTGAAGTGATCCAACCATAGCAGCATGCACTCCTCCTGGACTACATAGAAATATTGAAAAAATTACATAAAAGGAGAAGCCAGGAGATTGGAAAAGTGAAAACTTGTTTGGTTACAGTGATGGGACAAGCGGTATGTTGTTGGATCTAAAAGGAGTTGATTTGTGTATGGATGAGGTTAAAATATGAAAATTACCCATACTAAGTCCACAAACACCCATCTTGCCAAAACCTGCCTGAGAGTCCAACCAGTGTAAGAGACTGCGTGCCTCTTCAATGGTTGCTCTTCCTAATAAAAGCAAGTCACTAACACACAAAAGTTTTGCACCACGCTGCAGCATAGGCCGTCTTTGTCCATAAAATGGACAGCATTTGCATAAAGAGAGGAATACATTAAATGAATAGTTTGAAGGAGAAAAGGGTGGGTTTGAGAAAAGAGCATGACCTCTCAAGTACCATGGTTGCAATGTTTTGCTTGACGAGAGGTCCACCAAGGCGCAATCTTCTCTCAAATGAGTGGTCTCCGGTTCCTGCAGAGCATAAGAAAATGGAAAGATATGAAAGAGAAGATTGAAATGGAAAGATGTGAAAGAGAGATTTACCAGCAAGATGAAGGACGCAGGCCATTTTGTGAGGGGGGAGAGGCTTGGGGATGAGGAATGCAACCCTTGCAGTGTGGCTCTCAGGGGGCAATGCAGCAAGCAGTTGGTCCTCACAAGGGGTTCTGAATACCCCTTCTCTCAAAGTAGCCGTCTTGGTCTCCCAAAGGGTTCTCCAAACCGGTTCAATCATAGTGGGAGGCCAATTCTGCCCCGCCACTTGCACTTCCGGGAACAATTGCTTTATCATCCTCTCCAGCATCTCCAGTTTCGTCCCACCCCACCCTCGCGAGAAGAACGGCGTGCTCATCTTAGTTCTGTGCATGAATGCTCCGTATATATGGTCCAACACATAATGAAGCATACCCAGATTCACCGTCACCATCCCCACCTTAGATCTCTCACACCACCATAGATTCTCAAGAGATCCAAAGGGATATCGATCACACACACAAACCGAGAACAACGCGATCCAACCAAAACATTCAACTCTCCGCGCACAATAACTTAGAAAACTCACCTTTTAGGATTTCCTTGTTCCAACTAAATAAATAATTCAAATTATTCTTATGTTAAAGTTTTAATTTGATCTCTTATAATATTTTAAAATTTTTATTTAATTTTACTTTAATTTTTAGATTTAATTTAGTCTCACATAATAAAAATTTTAATCATGTTTTTTTTTGTCTAAAATTTTCAAATGTCATTTAAGAGTGTTCATGTGATTGAGAATCATAAACGTGATTCTTACTGCTCTTATTTAATAGATTTTTTTATGTGATTTACACCGTGCAAATCACGAGCGTGATTCTCATGACTTTTAAATGACGTTTGAGAAATTTAGACGAAAAATAAATATTGTTAGTATTTTTGATACGTGAGACTAAATTGAATCAAAAAATTAAAGTAGAACTAAATTAAAATTTTAAAATATTATAAGGAATCAAATTAGAATTTTAGCCTTATAAATAACTTTCTTATCTTTCTATTTATTGTTATTATTATATGCTAAAATAATAGAGATATTTCGTATTTTTAATAGTTATAGACAGATAAAATATTAAAAGATTTTATATAGATATTTAAATAAGATATAAATATTTTTTTTCACATCCAAGAAAATTTTTAAAAATATTTTTACTAAAAAAAATTTCAAGACACTAGTAGAAAAATAATTTCAAAGAACATTCTCATGGAATCTAATTTATATAAACATCATTGTATCAAGAAGAAGTTTCTTTAATAAATCTCTTGTAAGAGCATGAAAAAAGATTATAAATAGATTGACAATTCTTGAAACAACATTGTCTTATGATGAAAATGATTTATAAATCTCTTAAGTTTAATAATTTTCTTTTGTAACTACCACAATTAAAATTTAGATCTTTAAATTTTTGGATAATTTGATAATTTATGATATATTTAATATTTAGGGTTTAAAGTAAAGTTTAGTAACTTTATTTTCTTATAATATACTATTTTTGTGTGTGTAAAAGATAATGTATTTATATAGATATGATATCTTTTTCTAAAGCTAAATTTTAAGCATAATGAAGCTTATAATTATAAGAGTTAAAAAAATAATTTTTTTTATAAAAATGTATTTAGTAATACTAGTTTATAATTTAGCTGACAGTTTACAAATTAGAAATTCAAAAACTTACAAGTCAAGACATTTAGAGTCCTACTAAATAAGTCAAAAATTGTCAAGAAAAAATATCTCATTGAATAATTTTTTCAAATACACTTACATAAGTTAAAATTTGTTTAACCAAACTAAATCAAAGAGTTTGAAGACTCATACAAATATTTGACTTAGTAAACATCAATCAAAGTTTACGTTATTCATCATTTTTACATAAGGAGAACATCTTCAAATCGTAAAAAGTTGAATATATTAAACATATAATGTATGGATACATTTTATTTTTCATGCATGAAAATAAAAAATAGTAAAAAAAACCATAAAAAAATAACGAATAACACAAGTTATTTAACCAACTAAAATTAGACTTTTTTTTGACATAAAACTCTTTTACCATCAAATTGTCTACCCTATGTTTAAACTTTTTGACACTTAATATTATAAACCTTCTATACTAAGTCCTTCTATTAAGGTATAAACATTAGGAGAAGGAAAAAAGACCTTATCCACATATAAGAGCAACTTATATTATTTTATAAGAAATAAAATAATATTATTTTAATAAACACTAATTTTAATAAAACTTAGAAATATTATTTTATAGTCTATGTTAATTATTTTAATATTAAAATAACAAAAAATATTGGTATCTTTCAACATTTTTAACAATAAAAAATTTATTTTCTCTCAAATAATTAATATATTATTATATTTGTATAAATATATTATAGGGTTAATTAATTTTTTTTCATTCAACTATTTCAAAATTTCATTTTTAGGGAGAGAGAGAGAGGATTTTAGTAAGAAAAAACAAATTAAAAAAATGGGAAGTATGTTTAGTAATGAGGGCTTAGAAGAAAAGTCCGGAAAGCTTTGTAAGTTGGGCCAAGAAATGGGATATTGGGCTTAGATGGATGGAGACTTAGGGTTTTATTTTAATAATTTGAGAGAGTTTTGCCCTAAAACCATAACTCTCTTAGCTATCTCACGCAGCGACTTCTTCCTTCCTTTCTCCATCTGTGTCGACAATGGCGTACACTGCGATGAAGCCGATTAAGCAAGGGTTGGAGGACCCCCAGGAGCAGATTCACAAGATAAGGATCACGCTTTCCTCCAAGCACGTCAAAAATCTCGAAAAGGGTATGCATCAATTCATTCAAGTTCTTGTTTTTATGATTGTCTCTGTCAATCCTTAGCATAAATTTTGAGTTTTCGTGTTACTATTAGTTTGTGCGGACTTGGTTCGCGGTGCCAAGGATAAGCGTCTCAGGGTTAAGGGACCCGTCAGAATGCCCACTAAGGTTCTTCACATTACTACCAGGAAGTCCCCTTGTGGTGAAGGTATTTTCACTCTTTTGTCATTTCTTGTCATATGAAATTCAAATTTTATGTGAGTATCAGCACCTCGAAACACGGTAACACTGCTGTTGGGGAGATGTTTGGATGGGGCTTTATGAAGGGGAAGGGGAAGGGAAAAAAGTGGTTTTCTATTTTTTTATTTTATTTTTTATTTTGAGTTATATTCTGTTCAAAGTTCAGAAATGGACAAAGTATTAAGTGTGAAATGAATAATATGGTTTGTTTCAATTATCATTCTTTTAGTTGAAGTACAGGGTAAATTGTATCTACATTATGTTTTCTTCATTTTTATTCAATTAAATCTGGTACTTAAATCAGATTTTTCTTCAACAAATTCTGATGTTTATACAATAGGATATAAATTTATTGTTTTACACCATGGCTTGGAAGTTTGGCTCTTTTATCGGTTGTTATCATGCAATTGATTTGTGACTGGGGTGAACATGAGAATTCTTGCAGCCTGTAAAATGGAAAGACTTCTGTTAGGGCTAAAAGCTTGAAAAGTGTTGTGCTTTTTTTTTGTCACAATTCCTTCCTGTTCATATGTTTTTATGAAACACTAATATTGTTGTGTTACATAGCTTAATGACTTGGTTTTGAAGTATTATGTTCAATGTCTAGACTTTCTGAATGTTTTTTATTGTTGAATGAATGATATTTTTGCGTTTTGTTTAGGTACCAACACATGGGACAGATTTGAACTCCGTGTTCACAAGAGAGTCATTGATCTCTACAGTTCCCCAGATGTGGTTAAGCAGATTACCTCTATCACGATTGAACCTGGTGTGGAGGTTGAGGTTACCATTGCAGATGCTTGATCATATCCATATTTTAACTTTTTGCTATGCTTCATATTTTTTTTTCTTATGTATCTGTAAGTTTTGATTGGGGACTAAGTTAGTTGTTTTCTCTAGTGTTACGGTTGTGAACTGATGAATACACGAGAAATGTTATGCTTCATATATGTTAGAATGTTTGGATTTTATCATAGATCACAAATAATTTGTTGTGTACTCAGCTAACATTATATCTTGATAATTGCTTTTATCATGTCTCACAGATTTTTAAACCTAATAATACTTATTCTGATATAGTTCGACATACTTTTCCATTTAGAAAAGAAATAAAAACCAGGCAAGATACCGAAATGTTGCATTTCCGTTTTTATATTGTTAATTTCACTTCCGAAGACGTTGCCGTAACCAATTTTTCTGAAAAGATAATTTTTTTCTTTCGTCTAATTCTCCTTTGGAAACTGTCATTAAACTTAGAGAGGTCTTTGGTGCATTTTTCTTTAGTGCATTCTCGTTTACAAACTTGAGGCTGAATCGACTTGGTTTTAAATGAGTGTTATCTGTGTACCATTTAGTTTTATCTCAGCATTCACACATAAGTTCAGAATTTAATTGGAATACAGTGTAACCGTTATACTGTCATCTAATGGTTGCATTCTCTAGCGAGAATGCAACATGGGAGAACAGCAATAGGAAATGTGCCCTTCGTTTTTCTTCAATGTCAAACGCGTTGGAATTTATAGAATGCCGTGGGAATGGGGGGCATACATTTAATTTAATAATTTATAAAGAAGAGAAAAAGTTAACTTTTCTAAACTCCAACTCATTCATTCCCATCTTGCTACATATCCAAAGCACCTAAATACACCTCACTAATCTATTGCTTTTATATACAATTTTTTTCATGATTTAGTTATACACGGCAACACAAACTAAGCAGGACTCATTACAACCATCAGACCAGATAAAATTAACAAAATTCAATTATCATGTGTGTAATTTCTTTTTAAGTATATATGTTGGATAGGGCATTAGGCCTAGGAAAAAAAAAATATTAATATTGCTGCCCGAATTGGTCAAAAAAGAACAAAGAGAGAATCGAATCCTTCAAGTTGATGTGCCAAATTTGCATGTCTTATCTGTATTGCAATGAATGAAGCACTGGACTCCCAGCAACTTCTACTGATGAGAGGCAAATGTCAATACTTTTGTAAGGCACTAAACCCTAGTCTGTGGGCCAAAAATCATTAAACGCAGCCCTCCCCAAGCAATAATTGAAGCAAGACATTGCATCCTTTCAAGATATTTCTACACCTTTTTTTACTATCTAAAAAAAATTGAACATATTTATATTACATAAGTGAATTTTGTTTAGATATTCTTGTAATTATTTGTATGTAAAGGTATATAATTTTTTTAAGAAGAGCATTATACTTTAAAGAGTATTCGAAATTTACACGTATGATATGATATTATTTATTTTAAATTTAAATTTAATATGATATATATGCTTTATCAATGACAATGACAAACAGTCTAAGCATGCAACTTTTGGAGGCCCGATGGACTACAGATTTCCACACAACTTTCGTTTGTCTCAGAAACCAAAAGCTTTTATAAACAATTGTATGTTTAATTTTCATATAATGTTAACATTACATTTATTAAATGATATAAGATAATTATATTTAATAGATATAAATTTGGATAAAATATGTTTTTATCTTTCAAAGTATTTTGAAATGTTAGTTTTAGTTTTTATAAAAATTTAATACATTTTTATGTCATACATTTATTAAAAAAAAGCATTTTTAGTTTCTAATAAGAAACTAAAATCATATTATTTTGATAAATGTAAGAACTAAAAATGTATTAATTTTAGTCTTTCATTAGGAACTAGAAATGTTTATGTGTTCTCTGTGTGTGTGTGTTTTTTTTTAAATGTAGAGACTAAAATTGTGTTAAATAAATTTAGAGACTAAAACATTCTGAAATATTTTGAAGGATTAAAAAAAAAATTCTTTCTATTTTATAGTATTATTTAAATTAATCATACAATTAATATTATATAAAAATATCATTATTTAAATATTTATAAAAAAATTTAATACATTATTTAACTACTATCTTAGTAAGCACACATGTGTTCACATACAAACACACATATCAAAAGAAAGTATATATCTAAATAAACGGAGAAACTATAGTGTAATATTTGTATGTTTGAGAATGTATTTGAAAAAATATTAGTGTAAAAGATGTTTTAATAATAATATTTTAAAAAGTTAATGTAACTCTAATGAAAACTTTTAAAAAATAAATAGTGTTATATATTCAAATATTCAAGGAGATGAGATTAATCTTTTTAATAAGGAGAAAGAATAATGTAATATTTATATTATCATAAGAGGAGTAAAATTTACTTAAAATAAAATTTAGAAGTTGCCTATAACTCATTTCTCTTGTGTTTATTGTTTTATTTTTCTGTTTTAATTTTGTTTTTACACGACTAAGACTTTATATTTATCCATTGAAATTGAACTCGATAATTGACTAGTTCGTATTGAAAAATTTATGATGATTCACACATTATACTTAATCAATCAAGTTAGATCTTCTATTGATTAAGACTTAAAATACAAACAAAAATTTAAAATTTGTGTCAGAAGTTTATTATAATTATCAAAGAAATTCACAGGTACTTAGTTGGAATAACAAGTTTATCCAAAAGAAAAAAATATACATCTTTTTGTCACATATATACATATAGTTTTGCTATAAAATATAAAATATATGATGATATTTTATAGTTTGCAGATATACAGTTTTTACATTGTCAATTAATTAAAAAATAATTTTGATATAATTTTTAAAATAATTATTATTAAGTGAAAAGAGATACTTTTTATCTCTATATTTTTAAAATAAAAATAAATTAAAAATAACAGGTTGGGTAGTTATTGTGTCACTAGAGTGAGTGAAGGTAGAGATAACTGTAAAGTGAAAAAAAAATTAAGAGAAAAGGATGTAAAAAGAAAGGTGGAGTAAAAGTAAAGATAATTAATCTGTTTGGCTAAATTTTGATTACTCTATTTTTATTAATATACAATTTTGGTCCTTATTTTAAATTTTAAAATAGAAATATTTAATTTTAAAAATATAAAATTTTAATTCTCTTGTCAAATTAACATCTATTAATAATTAAGTTTTAATGTTTATTTATATGCAAGTAATATGACATTTGTAGATAAAAAAATATAAATAAAATTTATTAATGAAATGAACACTAATTACTTGTTAAAATAGATACACAAATGATAATTTTTGTATGTTATTTTTTTTCAAAAAAACTCCTACAAGAAGTTTACCATAATTCTTGCAAGAATAAAGAAGTCAACAATCAAACTAAAATAGAAGTGAAAATCTTATAGAATTAAAAACTTACCATCAATATCTCTAAGAGGTTCAGGAGATCTATGCAACTCAATCAAATACCTAAAAGAAAGGTTGTAGGAAATAATATTAAGAAAAGAAAGATTTGAACGCTCTTCGAGGACAAATAATCAATAGAAAGTTCACATACCACCCTGACACACGAGTTCAATATAGAGGAAAAAGAGGCTTACCAGTATTATCAAAAAATGTGCATGACCAAAAGAGTAAATCCCAACTTTAACAAAACTAACTTCAAAATCTTTATATGAATAAGTATAAGGCTTTAAAAGTTTATGGGAAGGGTGACGGGCTAACAATACCAGTATTATGGAAAGGGTTTAGAGTGATGGACTCCTTCATGTTCAAGGGGTTCAGCGCTAAAAATGTCAAAAGGAATATGATGAGACACTAACACTTCTTGAGGAACATAAAAAAGGCACCTAGTTAGCCTAGGAATAGGTCCTTTTCAATTTAACAAAATAATAACAATAAATAAATCTTCAAGACTTAGGGACATGTATATTGATAAAATATAGGTGGAGAACTATTTGGGTCTTAGTTGAGGACTATTAAAGAAGAATTTCGTGTTGAGGGCATATAAAAAACCTATTAGTATCAAGAATTGAGAAGAAGTTCATCATCAAGGTATACGCTTAATAAAGGTATAATATAAATTAGGCCTAGGCAAAGATTTCCGGCCATTCGAAATCGACCAAAAAACACTCAAATTTGATGAAGCAGATTGCTTCTAATGGATTTTGGATTTTTTCAAATGTAAATTTCAGGTTCAAATGGGTTTGAATGGTCGGGTTTAATGTTGAAATTTTCTAATCTGATATTCCTGAACTCGACCCCTCATCTTCTTCGTCCTCATCTTCTTCGTCCTCATCTTCATATTCTTCATCATTCATCATCTTCATCATCTTCATCAATCTTCATCTTCATCTTCTTCACTCCACAAACATCCTCTTCTCTTCAACTTTTCCTTCTTCTTCACGTTGCAAACATCCTATTCTCTTCAACCTTTCCTTCTTCTTCACGCTGCAAACATCTTCTTCTCTTCAACCTTTCCTTGCCATGGCCACCACCACTGAGAAGCTCGTTGTTCCATATTCTGGTTGACAAGGGTGGTGATGCGGAGATCTGAAACTCAACAATTTCCCCCAACAAAGTAGTGATAAAGCCCAATGAAGGACGACGGTGTAGGACGACATATATAAGACATGAGAGAAAGCTTCTCAAACTGATGAACCCAACTAGTTAACCCACAACCCACACGCATTGAGCCCGCCAAAAATCGGGGCCTTCGTTGGTTAGAGATGACTCTTGATTTTTCTTAATCGGTTTCAAGAAATTTTAAAGATTTTAGTCTGAATAATAATCATGTTGGGTAAAATAATAATACACTTTTTAGATCACATTTATTACAACATTTAATAAGTCATCTCAATAAGGCTAAATATTGATTTGATTGTTGAAGTGACTTTTATAAGTACACTCCAATCCATCTTAGGTATTTAAGACCAAAGACTATGATGGGGACCGAAAGCATGCAAGGAAGAGAAAAGAATTATCCGTGTATCCTTATGTAACTATCATAACTAATATATTAATTGGTTAAATTACACTTTTGGTTTCTCTATATTTTATTAATATGTAATTTTGGTTTGTCTATTTTAAATTTTAAGTTTTAAAATAAAGATGTACATTTAGTTCCTTTAATTTTAAAGATACATAATTTTGATTCTCTTATCAAATTGACATTTATTAATCATAAATTTTATTCAAAATAAAATTTATTCATAAAATAAATACTAATCACTCGATAAAATAAATACATAAAAAAAATTATGTTATTTATTTTTAATTTTTTTACATATCACCTTACTAAATATCACATACTTAAGTAATAATAAGTAACAACATTAAAATTTAATTATTAATGAAGATCAAATTTATGACACGACTAAAATTTTGTATTTTAAAAATATAAAAAATCAAAATTACGAATTGACAAAAATAAAATGATCAAAAGTACAATTTAATCTATATATTTATATGTATTTGAGGGTAAAATAATCTTAAAAAATAAAGATAAAAAATAGTTAAAGATTTCAATATTCTTTTTATTTATTAGTATATGTAGTATAGATTAAAATCAACAAATTATGATAATTTGTTATTGAAAAATGTTATAAAAAAAAACTTTACACTCGTAGTAATTTTTTTGTTTTTTTCACTTTTGTTACTATCTTCGAATAATCGATAGGGAGTACTCATGAATTTATTTTTTTCTTCCTGACATGAAGTTGACTATTACAACTTACAACCTACTTTCAGGATGGACCATCTAATTTACTCCATTCACAATCACAAGGATGAAACAAAATAGGATACCGATAATCGAAAATATCATATTAAGAAACAAAAAAAAATGGTGACTAAACCAATGTATATATGATTCATCAATGGCAATGACAAAAGAGCCTATGCATGCAACCTTCAGAAGCCAAATGGCCGATAGAGTTTAGCACAAGCTTCCGTTTGTGTCTCAGAAACCAAAATCCTTGTCTTACTCTCTTTATCTCAAGTCACATAACTTCCACGCATACCAAACAAAACCAAATTAAATTTCTTTCAATATTATATCTTTATTAATAAACTCAACCTCCATTAATTCTCCCTCCCCCTTCCATGTTCTCTTTCTTTCACAAAAATGGCTCCATACACACCTTCAAAAATTTGCAGAAAGAAAGAAATAGGAAGGGAGAGCTAGCTACAGTTGTTAACATTTAATTCTATATTAATTATCTGTCTATCTATACAGCTGATAGAGATGGAGGGTGGTGCCAAAGTGAAGAGAGACAACATTTAATTTATAATTTAAGAATCTATAAATTAAGGGCATACATATATATATATAGCTAGCTAGGGATGCATGCATGCAACCACTATCACTTGCTATTCTGGACGAGGGCGTGCCAACCACAACGAACTAAGGGCTCTCAGACGATGGAAGTACTCCGCTATGGCCAGAAAACACCTTGCTGCTTGACGGGTCGTTAGGATCTGGTGCAGACGGTGAATCGTTTGCTGCCTCAGATTATCTGCCTGTAAGTTCGTTTCAATCTCAAACAAATTATTTCTTCCAGTACAAAACTTGAACACAATTGTATATAAAAGTACTATTCTAGAGAAATGTTAGTGACACTTCCTATTTTAGCTAATAATAAAAATAGTTAATATTGTTACCAATTTTCTGTTGTAAAAATAGAGACAAGTTTTATGAGATGAAACGTGTTAATTTTAATTAAAAAAATTACGCTGTTAATTACTGATATACTTTATGGGTCGATTCTTGTTGTGAATTCAACATATGTATATGGGTAGGAAATTAACCTTTGCATGCAACTTCAACTGAAAAGATAGAAAATGAAATCATGATGGTCAGAAATAGACAAAAAAGAGGTTGGAGGAGAAACTGGATCAGTGGCTTCCTTTTCTCTTTCTGCTTTGAAACAACAACATGATTTGAAAACACGATCTACCCACTTATTTTCCAGCTTGTGATGAGTTTTCGTAGTCAAATTTTGGAACATTTAATCAAAATTTGGATCTTTTAACCTTAAAAGCACTTTAATATGAAAGAAGGTAGTAGAAGATTGGTACACCTTATTATATTCATACTAGTATATAATTTATGCATTTTTTTTCAAAGAGGTTGACAATTATTGTTCAGCATAGAGACAATGTATTCAAACATTGGATTTCTGAAACCGAAATGGCGACAACATAACAATAATGATCACCGTAAACCCTGGACCATGGTAGGAGTAACTTGAAGTCAGCATTGTGACCAAAAGAAGTCTAGAACAAATTAATAATACAAAATGGTCAAACAACTACCGGATGAGCTTACAGATGAATTAAGGCAAAAGGTTTGTTGTAAAACTCACATCATTATGATTAGTCTATTCTATCTACCTAAAGATTCCTTCTGGTTTTTCGTTTCCCATTGTTTTGATTGGTTATAACTGGTTCAACGAGGATGTATATTCTTGGTTTCCTTGTAATTAATTAAACCATCTATTCATCTGTTGAAAAATTACTTGTACAAGTTGGTGAACCAGCTTTGGTCACATGAATACAACCCATGCATATAAATGAAGATGTGCGGTGAAGATTAGCTGCCATATATACACTATTACATTTTAACTTTTTTTTTTAGTAATATTATCTTATTTACATTTGTTGAAATGTCACTATATATTAAATAAATAAATTTTTTTAATATTTTTTAAAAATAATATTATTATAGATAGAATAATATTTCTTTATTTTAATATTATTATTTTTAATTATTTTTAAAATTAAAGTCTTATATCGAGTAAAAAAATGTTATATAGGTTAGTTTGTAACATTTTTCTTAAAAGTAACATTTTTTTTCCTTAATATTTTTTTTTTAGTTACTCCTAAAATTAAAGCAGCGCATCAAGTAAAAAAGGTTATATAATCTCTTATTTCTAATTATTTTTCATAATTAAAGTTTTATATTGAGTAAATAAATGATCCATAAAGAATATATATTATATCATATAAATGAACTTTGATATTTGATATATAATTAATTATATTAATTAAAAATGTCTTCAACATTTTCTTAGAGAACTTGTAAGAATTTAAGAAACATAAAATATAATAATTAATAACAATATCTATATTAAAATTAATTCATTTTATAAGTTAAAACTTTTTTTAGCAACACCATTAAAATGTTACAAACATACTATTTTGATAATATTTAAAAATGTTATTCAATTATATAAAAATATTATTAAGTTTTTTAATAACAAATTATATACATTTAATAATATGTTCCAAAAAACAAATTAACAATATTTATACACAAAACTCTTTTTATTGTAGTAATATTTCTCAAAAAAAAAAAATCACGTTCATTTTACCAAAACTGTTAACAGATTTCAACGAATATAATTCAAAAATCAAATCCTATTTCTATTTAGAAAAGGAAGCATATGCCCCATTTGCCATTTCATTCAAAACTCGTACGTCTACACCTTGTGATGCATTACCCAAATTCCACTAACCAAACACAACACCGTATTAGACACGAACATTGTTAGTTTGTTAGAAGTAGTAAAAAAGAATGGAGACGGGTCTATGCAGTGTCTTCAAGTCAAACGGTTATGACCATGACATCAGACAGATATGGGACTAGAGATATCTTTTAATTAGAACTTTATCGGTGAGGTAAGGGACCACTGATCTGTCCTAGTATCACGTGTATATGATCAATAGTACACACTACACACTAACACTAACACCTTTGGCATTCAATGTTTAAATGAAATGTTCAAAATAATATAAAACTTTCAGCACTGCAGTTACTGTACTTGAGCCAATATGTTTTATTGTTCTTATATGGTAACTAATATGTATGAGTACTAAACTATATCAAATCATTTTCAAAAAATAAACATGTGTATTAATCTTAACTAGTACTATAACCAGGAAATAATTTTCCTACTACTTTTAAGCTTTACTACACACACCTTGCATGTAATTTTCCTTATTAAGGTGCATGTTTGTGGTATGCATATAAATATAATGTATCCAAGTACCTGTACCTGACAGATCCGAAAGGAATCAGAGTCCTTTTCGAGATATAAACATTAGCCACCCCAATGTACGTCTAAATAAGAAGCAGATTTTATAATGTTTGTAGATTCCATGTAACAACCTCAAGTGAGAGACATGCATGGAAGGAGTAGTTCATGGGGTTGGAGCAGGTCTCCCTACCCTAAGAACAACAGATTCTTCTTCCTACCTGACCCCACGAGATTCCTTATGAAAACTTGGTCGTGGGGGACCACAAAACTAAACCAAGATCAGAGGGTCACGAAACTCCCTCACCAAATCACCAATGCCAAATTCAATGTCCATGATGAACATTTTTTTAATGAGTGATGACATTGACACACATAAAATATTACATTATTTTAGTTAGCAAGAGAATATATATTTTTTTCTTTCTTTACTTAAAAGGTCAATTGTTGTGAACATTTTGAGGTGTAATAAATATGTTACTATATATATCCACACATTAAAAAAATTACGAGAAACAGTTATAAGTCAAAGTAATGCAATGTACCTGTCTCACGAAACCTTCAAGCGTGGAGAGTTTGTTCATGGCCACGGCCATCTGTCCCATGTAGTTAGCCATATTGGGAGGATAACTCAGAGAATCTGATGTTATAGTGTCTGAGAGAGATTGATTGAGAGCATCAAGCCCTTGTGAGAGAGCCTCTTCTGATTCTTGCGTAGATTGTTGCAACCCACATATACCCAATATTTGTTGCTCCGTCAGAGGCTCAATTTGATTCAGAATAATCTAAAACACATAAATCAAATCAATATAATTAAACTAACGTTGCAACCAGCTATTTTTAAAGATGGTAGATTATAAAAAATAAAATAAAAAATTGTTCTTATATATGCAAATAGCTAAACTATGAAGTATAAAATCATAAATATTTATTGATTAACTACAATACAAAGAAAGAGATGGGCATGGAAAGAACTTTATTCCATTTCCCATCAACAACATTTTGAAAAGAAGAAAATGAGAGATAAAGACCCGTGCCATTCTCTTTCTCTTTACTGGCTAATTTCTCAATCGATCTCCAGTTCTAATTAACTAGAGATTAGAGTAAAAGGTATAGCTTTATGGGAATGAAGCCTAGCTCTACCGTTACTGGAAACCTTCATGATTCCTGTCATCATTCATTGATGACGTTGAATTCATACCAGTCGTATTTTCTGGTGACCCCACCGACAAAACGGAGTTCAAGCATTTATAAGATTAACTTCTTGTAATGAATACAATGTATAACGCACCCCAATTTTCTCCCCCACTATCCGCATACAAGTTATCAAAATTAAATTCACCCCACACCCCAAATTTTAATTATGGACTGTAATATATTAAAATTGAAAATAAAATAAAGAGACTTTTTGGAGAGAAAAATCTCAAGAAACTTGATCACTTGCAATTTTACTAATTAATAGACCTCCAAGTTCATCTAGTTTGGTTTTTGTCTTATAGCTGTCACATCATATAGTGTTGAGTCATGAATCATGACTATAATATGTGGATATATAGCATTTCTGAACCAGATTTGGTTAATTACAATAAATTTATATGTACCTTAATGAGTTCAGATGGTCTGAATCCACCGATCCACATGAAGCAACGTTCAGCTGGGGTCTTCCACATGCCAGAAACAAGATGGAACACATCTGTTTTGGCCACTAAGCTCTTGAGGTTCATTACTTGATCATGATGCGCCAAACAATTGTCCACAAACATTCTAAGCTCGTTCTCGGGAAGGTGCTCTTGCACTGCAGCTCTTAGCTCACACACTATGCGGTGGTGTTCCTCTAGCCATCTAGCATATTCCACGTCAAACATTGCAGCCTCTGAAAGAAAAGAAAAACATATGAATTGGAAAGTCTATGAGAATAAAGCATGCATAGCATCATATAATAAGAGATAAATATTGTTAGTGGGGAAAGAGACCCGAGCTAGTGGTATTCATAGCGACAGGAAGGCCTTGCTCTCCTCCCATAAGTGCACCTCCACCTAAGAACATGCCCTAAAATAGATACACGAATTATTACTTGAAAGTTGCAAAAGCCACAGGTGTTTGAACTTGAAAACTTTAACAATGTCATGACTAGTTATAGCATATGGCTTACTTGAGATCTAGCACGTTGTAGCTCTTGTTCCAGCTGATTAAGCCTAATCCTACTCGACTCTAGTTGTTGAACATATGCCTGTGAGAAAGAGAAAGAGGACAAACAAAATGGTACATGAGTGATATGTAAGATCCTTTGACAAAAAGAGTGTAAAACAACAGAGAGTTGAGTTAAAATTATCTTCCTGGGGAATCACTTACCTTTTTCCTAAGCCTGCTTTTCCTAGCTGCCTCTCTATTCTGAGCAAGTCTTCTCAGTGTCTGTGCACAACGTTTTTAAACCGCATATATTAGCATCAATTTTTAAAAGGTAATAATTAACTAGCATGAAAAGAAGGATATATACGTGGAAGAAAGAAAAATTTAAGAGTTTATAACCTTAGGATCCGGTGTTTTAGGTCCTTCTTGTTCAGAACTTGACGTTGGACCTTTGCGATTGCCCTCTCGCTGCCACGGTAAACGCATAGGTAATTATTTAGTTAAAGAAATTTCAGATGATAATAATAATAATTATTATTATACTTAAGGTCAGATCAGAATTGAAGCTCAGTCTTCAAAGATGCTAGCTACCAAACTCTGATTCTTATTGTAGTCATTTATATAACTTATAACTATATATAAATTTAAGAGATAGATATGTTTTTTTCTGGTATATATTATATTATGTTATTCGTACCTTGACAGCTTTGGGTGGTTGAGGGGCAGAAGCAGTTTCGTTTCGAGGGTTGGCCATCTCCATAGACTGTTCTGATGGTCTCTTAGATCCACTTGTTTGCGGAGAAACTAGCTCCACGTTAGCCTAACAAAGTCAAATGTAAATAGAATCTATTAATATAGTGTTATTGTTTAATACGATTAATATTGACCAAACTTACAACCACATAATAATAACAGAAAGAGTGTAAGTGTATAGCAACGAATACAATTGACTGTGAGATAATGATTACACCTTGGACTTGGATGATGATGGCTCTACGTGCATAGGCTTGGACGGGAAAATGTTGAGAGTTGGAGGCCTCATTCCTGATGACGAGTTCTCTGCCGAGACGCATACATGCACAAAATTCAGCATCATCAATTGTGTGTAAATATGTCTAAGCAAGTTAATACAAGTTAATATATGTGCCTGTATAATTTAGAGAGAAAGTGAGAGAAATGAAGGACGGAAAGAGGGTATGTGGTTTCCAAGGGACAGAATGATTAGGATATGACCCGAATGTGAAAACAAGAGAAGTGTGAGAGTGAGGCGAAGAAATTGGTGTGGTAATGAATTATCATGCATTTTTGGCTCTCATTCGAAACTGAAAAAAGAAGGAAAGTAAAGAAAGTAAAGGCAGAAGGCACCCCCATACCCTACTCGTTTTCCTTTTCTGTACAAGTGGTGTTTTTGTTTGAAGGAGATCATGACACCCGGTTTGTTACATGTCATGGTCTCACACCTCCAAGCAATAAAACAAAAAATAAATTAAATAAATATAGAGAGAGAAAGAAAGAGAGGAGAAAATTTTCATTTTCTTTAATTTCATTTTTGGAAATGGAAAAATGTCCACTCCATTTTTTGCCCCTCTCTGAGAAGGGAGGATCTGGTCAAAGGAAGTACGATGCTGCAGATACGAATCAGCCAAACATACTTTTGGTGTGAGCCAAGCCAACAAAGAGAATCTCCTAAACGAACCAAAAGTGACTGGGAAGGAGACCCTTTTGTGAATTTGGAAGCAAAAAGGAAAATTTTCCTCTGTGAGAAAAAGTGTTGATGAGAAAGCTCACGTCTTTGATCTTGAACACTAGAGGGGTCTGCTTGTCCATCAAGGTAGAGGAAAAAGGCTTGATCCAATTCCCCCAAGTCATAAGCTCCAGAGTCCTTGCTTCTGCTGACATAAACACGCGCATAAATAAAATAAAATAAAACTGGAAGGAAAATAATGCAAGACAAAAACAAAATCTCACAGAACATAGTTTCCGGGGATAGAGGAAGATGAAGAAGAAGATTGCATCATTCCGAAAGAAATATGATGGTCATGTATCTGATGATGATGATGAGGATGACGGTGTTGTGGTGGTGGGAGTGGTTCCAATTGAGTAGTTGGTGTTGGGTTGGTGGCCTTGGAAGCCATGACCAGAAGAGAAGAATCTAAAAGCTTTGTTGTTGTTTTGGTCTCTTCTGGTAACCCTCATGAATGGCGAAACCGCCTTGTGTGTCTTCTCCCACTTGAGATCATTTTGTTCTTCCACGGAAAAAGATAGAGTCGGTTATAGTCGAATAGCTTGTAGCAAGTAACTAGAGAGAGAGAGAGAGAGTTGAATTGAATGCAAAGTTAGAAACAAACAAAAGACAACTCTTTTTTTTTTTTTTTTTTTTTCTATTACACCTCTTTCTCTCTCCCAAGATGACTTTCTGCGAAGCAAAATCTTTATTTCAGATAAAGCGGTCCTCTCAGGACATCCTCTCTCTCTCTCTCAGTGAAGCAACAAAACCAAAAGCTGTCTTTGTTGTTGTGTTTGGTTTTTAGGGAGAGAAAACCAATTTTGAATTGAAAGATGGAATTGAAAAACCACCTTAAAGTTAAAAGCTTCCGTGTGTAATCTACTTATTCTATATAGCGTGAAATGACCAAAAACTCTTCTGCAATATATCTTCAACTTTTTTACTGTTCACAATTCATGCAAACACTTACACGTCCATTCCTTAGGCCGCCTTCTTTATTCTATACCTCAATGTAACACAGATCACATCAATCAAAGTGATATAAAATTGTTTTAATTAACTAAATTTGAGTTATAAGAGTGTTGTTGAATAAATAGTTGAAACAAGAATTTCATCCATAATCATTCTTATACAAAGGAATATAATCGATATGCATTTAATCCAACAAAAGTTAATTTAGTTGGTAAACAAGACACTCATAATTTTTAAAAAATGGGTTTGATTCTTATTATAATTTGAGAATCTTATCAATAAATAATTTATAAATATTTTTGTAAATATAGAATTTTAAAGTTTACCTTGTCTCTATTGAATTTTTAAGGACTTAACTCATCTAATTTTTTTGTGAAAAAAAAAGTACTTATATACATATAATATAATATAGACAAGCACATCTCACAATTTATACATTTTTATATTTATTAAAAATTTCTAAATTTTGTCTCTATTTAGATGATAAATTAATATCTACCTTGCTAATTAAATATTTATTGTTTATTAAAAATTATACTTTGTATCATTTAGTTTTGTTACTTGGTCACATTTGTTTTCAGACATTTAGTCCCTTTTTATCTAAATACATTCAATATTTTGAAGAAAAAAAACAATGATTTAACTTATATGTATATTATCCCCTCTCTTTTTATTTTATTTTATTTGGTTTGATACAAAGCTCATATCGAATAAAACAAGGTAATTGTTACTGTATATTTTTATATAACAAATAATTATTATTTTTTATGTGGTAATTTTTTTTTATGTTTTAAAATCCCTTGTCAACTTGGAGAGGTAATATATATTCACCCTTAATGATTTCGAAGGAGATATATTAAAATATATTTCCACATGTCTTCTTAATTAATCATGTCGTTGTAGAAATAGTAGACAATGATATTCCTCAATTTTGAAAATGATTTTATCACAGGTTGAATCTTATAAATCGTTTTCAAAACGAAGAATTTATCGATTGAATGGATATAGTCATATGAAGCGAGCTTTCAGACGTAAGTTATTATCTCCACGGTGGATGGTTGAAAATACTTCAATTTATAATCTATTTTAAAGTTGTTATCAACATAGACAAAATTGACTTTGAAAAACAATAAAATTGTGAAGGGAGATTACAAGTTAAAAGTCACTAATTCAAGGCCAATTATATAATCCTAAAAGGCGTTACAAGCAAAAAATAAATAAATAGGAAGAAGCAAATAATACATTAAAAGAAAAAAAAAACTTGGACAAAGTTCATTTAAAATTTGCTTAGATTCAAAGACGGAGGTAAGAATTATTTATTTATACAAAAGTCATTAACAAGGCTAACTCATTAATAATTATGATTTAAGCGAAAAATTCTCGGTAGTTATGTATTTATCAACGATTAATGAGAAGTATATAATATACATAATAAGGTTTCTATTGAAATGGTACGCAATTAAGATGTTAATTAACTATGGGACAACATTGACTTTGAGAATCATTTTGCTATGTGAAGGCCATCAAGTTGATTCCGGATAAATAAAGATTTTTTTTTATTTCTAAATATATATTTTTTTGAATATGAAAATTAATTTATCTGTTTATCAACAATATTAAAATAATATATACATACCCCACCAAAGTCAACACCTCTTGAAATCTTATGCCACAAAACTTGTTTGTCCCCAACTATTTGTTTGTCATTACCTCAAACATTCTTAAGCCTTGTTGAAAATGCTGAAGGCAGGACTCTTCAACCTGTCTCTTGTATATATTAAATTTGTTTAAGTTTTGATTAGTATCAGTACGTCGCCAATATCAATTGCTAATCTGAAACTTCACAAAAGGGGTGAAATGGCTTTTCGAGGGACACGTGGAATTTCATTGACCCAAGAATATCATTAAGGTTTTCAAATTGAGAGACATAGATTTTCATTATAAGTGTGCTAGCTACTTATTTCTTTACTGTTGTCAACACCATCGCATAGAAACAACGCAAATGTGCTATATATATTGGTGAACTTAAGGAACAATACGTAGTTAGTTTCTTAATTAATAAGCAATTGAATTGGGGTCATAACATGGCAATCTCTTTTCCATGTGTATTGGTGAGGAAATTAAGTATTAGCATATATACGACTGCAAGTCTAACATGACCCACCACAATTCCAATATCAAGATATTGCAAATCATGTTGCACGTTTAATTTGGAAGTCACTATTGTCATTTTAGAATACATTTAATTTTCATTAACATAATTTTCCCATATATGTTTGTGCAGATGCATTAAGGATATTAATATAGCAAAATAATTTTATGAACTATTTTAGTTATTATATAAAAGTATTATATTTTTTTTTTTATATTATCTATATACTAAATGTATTTTTTGTTTAATTATTTTCTTTATAAAATATTAAGAAGAATTAATAAAGAAATAGCATAAGATATAATACTACTTTCAAAAACACTTCAAATATATATTCTTAATCAATAATTTGTAGTAAACTTTTTTTTTTTAAATAAAAGTTAGGCATGCACAACATTATTATAGGATAGAGAGATATTAGCACCTCAAAGTTTATCATTCATTTGTAGCACACTAAAATATATAAAATAAGAAGAAAAAAGTATAATAAAGAACAAGGAGACTAGACCAAAATCCATGAAAAAATTAACAAAACTTAAAGCAAGGAAGACCACAATGACTATGAAAAAACCTTGATTGGATAAAAGACGACATAGTGTCCCACCAAACAAATTCACTCCTATGTGTTAAACCATGTGCCACCAGTCTATTAGCACATTGATTACCCTCTCTAAAAATATGAGGAGCTTGAAATTGCATCTTAGACACAAAAGCAAACAATGTTTCCATCTATTCAAATAGACCAAGGCACCAAGTTAATTAGGATTGTGAAAGGCATGTAGAATCACCCTGGAATCACATTCAAACCATAACTTGTGCCACCTTGTTAAAAATGCATGCTCAATTGCCTACATAATAGTAACCAACTTCACCCTCAAAGCATCAACGCCAATGTATAAAGTGAACCCTTCTAAGAAAGTCCCACTACTATCTCTAAACAAACCACCACCAGTAGTGTGTCTTAGGGAACCTCTCGCACCATCATTTGTGTTACATTTGATGAATCCACAAGTAGGAGGATGCCACTTGAGTCACACGAGAAAGCCTAAGAGGATAATAGAAACTTGAAAATACAAAATTCCACCATAGAGTGATGTGTGTCTATTAGAAACAAATTAGATAATGAGATTATCGAAATAACCATAAAAAGTACGAAAAGGTTAGAGATTCTAACATTTTAAAACACAAGTTGTTTCTAGATAACTAGATCACCCATATAACATGTGTCAAGGCAGAGCAAAACATTTTTCACGTAAGAGCTCTATCTCTTGTCAACCAGCGATAGTAGAGACTTCATAAATATGAGATATATCCAATGACATGTTTAACACATGTTGCAACCAAGTCCATAGTGAGTTAGGAGTAGTAAACATGAGTACAAGTATGAGTAATACCCAATTTATTAAATTCATATGAGGATGGGATAAGTATATACATACTAGTTCCATATATGTACTCGTACTCATACCCACTTTAAATTTATAGAAACTTAATTTTTTTAAAAATTTATTGTCATTTCTAATTGCGAGCAAAAGCCACACCTTAGAAATTAATACTCTAAAGATTCATCTATAAGCCACAAAGGCTACAAACCGAGTCCATGGTCAAAAATACTGACATTAAAATATTTAACTTATTTGAGGAATGAGTTTTGAATTTTTTAGTATATAAAATATTTAACTGATATGCAATTTTGGTGTAAGAATTATATTAACATTAACCGGTATTTTAATATAACATTATAATAAGAAAATTAATAATATGTTAAAATAACAGCCGATGCCATCCTAAAACTTATGCTAGTAATTGAATTTAGTAAACAAAATTATGATCAGATGGATGGATGAATAAATGGTATCATTTTAGTCTTTAGATGTATTGGAAGTGTAAATAATTATGTAAAAATAATAATTAACACGTTAAATAATTTTTTTGAATAAATTAAATTATTGTATCTATATAGATTTTTGTTTGGTGAACTTTATATGGTGTAAGTTTTTTTTTTAAAAATAATTATATTATGTTTTTACAATAATTTTGATTTTTTTTTACAATGGCTGTAACAAAATTATAATATCTAGGACCTTATCTATGAAAAAAGAAAAACGAAATAGACACACACAAAGTAAAGTGGATGAATTATGTGGGAGTGTGTTTAGCAAATTTATTAGCAAAACAGATAAATTTTGAGAAACAATTGATGAGATCGTCCAGTGTGTCCAACAAAAAAGTAGAGTGAGAGAAATACGCAAAGTTTATATCAAATTTTTTTATAACTTCGAGTTACATCTAGTTCTTTCAATTCCTAATTAAATAATCGATTTTCACTAATCACATCACGTAGTTCAGTAAGTATTCTTGAATCATTTTCAGATCTTACACTTCTAATAATCTTTAGCCGCAATAATGTACTCACAAATCTTTTGAGCTGAATTTCTTCAAGCTCTTATAAAATTTTGTAAGAAATCTGCTCACTAGGTTATTACAATGAAAAAATAATACGCTCAAATATCTTAGTTTTTCTCATGTCTTCTTTCAGACTAACAAGTCTCCCTTTTATAATCTTCAGAAAGAGACATTGAAAAGAGGAACTTCTCATTATGAGAAGGTTAACCAGAAAAATATGATTTTTTGTCAGACAGGTGTTGTGAGAGATAAAAGGCATTGTGCAACAAATGAAGTTCTCAACGTTTTGCTATGTTTTGCTAAACAAGCCATGAAGCCA